CCAAGGGGCATGATATTCGTCAAGGTGGAGATTTGATAGGTATGACTCATAAATATACCAGTAAAGAGGACAGGGGATGGAGCGAAGTGAGCGAAGCGAACATCAACTGTCCTTACAAAGAAAGTCTCGTAGAGGGGGTTACTATTATGTGGGTTGGGGGTGCGGGGGCGCAACCCCGCGGTATGGTACAAGGTTAATTATGTAATTCTGTACCATGTTTTTTTATTATAAATAGAGATGTAACCTAAACCTATGAGACATTGAATAAAACTTCTAGCGCCGCCTAGGCACCGAGGACGTAAGCACATTGCCGAACCTTGTTAAAATTCTTGTGTTCTTTCGTTATCTTTGCCTGATTCTTCAACACTATCGACTATAGTAAATAGACCCATATATTTTTCTGGGTTGTTTGAATTAACTTTTAGTTTTAATATAAGTAATAAACTATAGCATTGTATAATTCAATGTTATGTGCTTACGACACCACCAAAACACTATGTTTTGGGACTTCTAATTTCCAAAATTTTTCAGAAAAAATAACCTTTTTTCTAGATGGTTGGAATCATCTTATCATTGTCTAATTATTGTCGACTATCATTTATAATATAATTGGTATTAGAAATATATTCTTTTATTTCTTCTCAAATTCAGTTTTCCTCGAAATCCCTTAAAAATTGATAAAACTCAAATTAATTCTTTAACTTATCTTGATTCAATCTACAACTTCCACGGTTTGATGAATGTGGAGTCGAGGTATATTTCTTTTAATTCTCCTGTTTAACTTTCTATTGTTCAGATTTGAAAGAAAATACTCTGTAGCTGATGAATAAATTAGAATTTAAAAATCCAAGTTTGAGAGAAACTTTTCAAAGGTTTTTTTTCCTCTCATAAATTTACCAAAGAAAGTTAAACGAAACTGGACACTTAACAATCATGTAATAAAACAGAAAGGCTTATATAATAAATAAGTACTTAAAGTATGTCCTATTTTTCGTTTAAGTATCTAAAGTATTTTTTGATAAAAAATAAGTAATTAAATTTTATCGTTTTGATCAAAATAGGTATTTTTTTTTTATCAAAATAGGTGCCAAAAGTATTCAATTTTTTTCATCTAAGTACCTAAATTATTCTTTAATTAATGTCACATGTCAACTTTTTAAAAACATAGATGAAAAAGTTTGAATAGTTTAGGTACCTATTTTGACACAAAATACTTTAGGTGCTTATTTTGGCAAAAAAGATAACTTTAAGTACTTAAATGAAAAAGAAAGTATACTTTAGATACTTATTTGTGATATAAGCTAAACAGAAATAATTTAAAACTTTAGTGATGCAACTGAAATTTAAAAAAAAATGAATGACTACAATAGAAATACAAACAAAGTTGAGTTATAAAATTTGTTTTACCCTTTTAAATAATATGGTAATTGATATTGCATTTACATATATATATATATATATTTGATTGAAAACGAGGCAGAGCAACTAGCTACTGTACCATAACAAATATCAATCATAAATATTAGGGTAAACTACATAAATGATCACATAACTATTGGTTAGGTCACGAAATGATCGCTATTTTTAAAATTGTGACAAATATACCATTAAGTTATTTAAATGGGTTCAAAATAGCCACACTGCGTTAACATTTAGCGAAGGTGTTTATGTGGCACTTAAAAAATTTAGTATAATTAGGGTGCAAGTCCTTGTAAAGTTACTTATGTGCGGTGCTGGACCCTGCTTTGTTTTCTTCTATTTTGATCACTACTTGTATATGTTTTGTTTCCTTGGATTTTCATTTAATCCAATTTGATCCTGATTTTGTTTTTCAATTTGTCTAATGCCTTAATTTGAATCATTAACTTTAAAATCTTTTATTCTAGTCATGTATTAAATTTGTAGATTAAATCCCCTAGATTTTAGAATTAATCAATTTGATCACCAATATTAACTTTATTTCTTAATTTTTAATTAGGTCATAATTTCAATTTAATATAACAAAATGTGTCTTAACTGGGTGCCTGAATACCCGGTTTATATATATATATATATATATATATATATATATATATTATTTTATATTAAATTGTATTTATAATTCTCAAATTATTTCACTCTAACATTCTAAATTCTCAATTTCTTAAAATTTGTCACCATAACATTCTAAATTCTTAATATCTTAAATTATTTCACATTAACATTCTAAATTATTTTAAAAATATTTATTTTAACTTCGAAACATTTGAAATTTAATTATAAGTTTTGTTTTATTTTTAATTATTTAATTTATTTTTTAAACTTTATGTGTGAATTATATATTATAGACCTTTAAATTTTAAATTTTAGAATTTATATATATATATATATATATATATATATATATATATAAATAATATAGTTCTAAAAAATTAAAAAAATTATAAACAGGTACTTGTGACCCGAAAATACGGGTACCAGTATATAATGGGCCGGGACACGGACCAAAATTTTGATACCCAAAAATTTCTAGTACCCGATATTTCGGATACCCACAGGTACTCAGTTTTGAACACCCCTAGTGATAGGACTTTGAAGGAGTAAAGAGAGTGACTAAACTGTAAAACGTACAAAAGATAAGGACATATATGTGAGAAAATATGTCATTTGTCAAGCGAATAAAGTATGAATTCAAACATACTTTCACAATCATATTCTTCCTCTCCTATTCGTACTTTGATATATATGAGTTTGCGGCTTATGCTGGGGAGTGCTCGTGGTGAAGTCAAATAATTTTTATTAATAATGAAGTTATTGTGATGTCAGAGAGATATAATTGACATAATATAGTTAATAAATAATATGATATAATTAATGTTTCATATTATTAAGTTAATTGAGAATATGACAACACTTAAATCATTAAAATAAATTTAATAGTTTATTTATAATTGATTTAAGATTTTAATATTTTTAAACTAGATTTACTATTTTTATATTTATTTTTAATGATTATATATATATGAAATCATTAAATTATAATTTAATATTTAAATTATAATATATATTATATTATAATTAACGGGTCTTCAAAATCAAGCGAAATGGTGACAATCAAGTGGAGAGGTATTGTGCAAGACTAGTGGTCAAAACATATGCTAAAAAAGAAGGATTGATTTCAATGAAATCTTTTCTCATGTGGTTCGACTAACAACAGTTCAGGTAGTCTTGACAATATGTGTTACACTGTATTTACATATAGAGTAACTAGATGTTAAAACAACTTTTCTTCATGGAGATCTTGAAGAAGAGATTTACATGCTCCAACATGAAGGTTTTGAAGAAAAAGAAAAAAAGAACTTGGTTTGCAGGTTGAATAAATCTCTATACGATCTAAAGTAGGCACCGAAGTGTTGGTATAAGAGATTTGATTCCTTCATTATGTACCTTGGTTATAACAGACTTAATGCAAACCCTTGTGCTTATTTCAAGAGGTTTGATGATAATGATTTTGTTATATTGCTGTTGTATGTGGATGACACGTTAGTTGCAGGTCCTAACAAAGATCACATTGAAGATTTGAAGGCACAACTGACTAGGGAATTTGAAATGAAGGACTTGAAACCATCAAACAAGATTCTAGGGATGCAAATTCACCGAGATAGAAGTAATAAGAAGATTTGACTTTCACTAAAAAATTACTTAAAGAAGTTCTTGTCACGATTCAACATGCAAGATTTTAAGTCAACTTCTACCCCTCTTCCTATTAACTTCAAATTGTCCTCTAATATGAGTCCTAGTAGTGAATAAGAGAGGACGGAGATGTCTCGAGTCCCGCATGCATCAACAGTGAGAAGTTTAATGTTCGTTATGATATGCAAAAGACTTGACATTGCACAAGCAGTAGGAGTGATTAGTCGGTACATTGTGAATCCATGCAAAGAGCATTGAAATGCAGTAAAGAGTATACTGAGATATATCAAAGGGACATCAAATGCTGCATTATGTTACGGAGGATCAAACTTTCTTATCAATGGGTATGTTGATTCTGACTATGTACGGGATTTGGATAAAAGCAAATATACTAATGAATATGTGTTCAAAGTTGCTTGTGGAGCTGTAAGTTGGGTTTCAAAACTACAATTAGTTATGGCTACGCCAACAATAGAGGCAGAATATATAACAGCTACACAAGTTAATAAAGAAGCAATTTGGTTGAAAATGCTATTGGAGGAGCTCGGGCACAATCAAGAGTATGCCTCTTTGTTTTGTGAAAGTCAGATCGCCTTGCATCTTGCAAAGAATCTAACATTTCATTCAAGGACAAAACACATATGAGTTCATTACCATTTCATTCGTGAAAAGGTGGAAGAAAGGATTGTAGATATGCAGAAAATCCATATCAAAGATAACATAACATATTTCATATCAAAGGCGGTCAATACTGATAAATTTACTTGGTGTTGATCCTCTTGTAGCTTGTTAGAGACATGAGCAACATAAATGGTATAAGGTAGAAAGAATGGTGTGAAAATATGATTGTTCCGATCAAATCTTAAAGAGAGATTGTTGAAAGTAAAAAAAGAATAAGAAGGTAGTTTTCGGTGCATCAATGCACCGAATTTTGTAGTGGTGAATTTAAAAAATTACCGTTGCAATTTATTTGAAAATTGGCAAAGAAAAAAATTATCCAATTAGTCTCTAAACTTTAGGCTATTTATAAGATTAATCTCTAAACTTCAACTATAGACCAACCTTTTGCCATTCATACCCATCCCTAAATCATTCCAACTTTCTTCCATTATTAAAGAAATTAGAGAATTTTCTTGATAGTTGTTTATTCTTTTATCAAGAGAGAATTGTCATTATTTTTCTTATTAAATCGAAAAAAATTGTAATTCTTATTTTCTTTGCATGTACCATATATATTTAGAGATTTTTCACGTAAAATCTGTATTCTTTATCTTCATTTTTATTTTCTTAAATTATCAGTTACGATTTTACTCTATCCGATGATCGAATTCCACAACAATCATTACATTTATAATCTTCTAAAACTCCTGATGGTTTTAAATCTAAGACAAACTCTACCTCCTAAAATCTACAAGAAAAAAAGGGAAAAGATAACAATATCTTATATATATATATATAGTTGCTAGCTTTTTATTGGTGGAGGAGACTGGGCAATGGAGCAGAGAACGACAGAAGAAGAAGAAGCCAGCAATATGCAACTGTACATTGCATTTCAAATTCCAATCTCTGCAATGCTCTGCAACGCCGGCGTCCATTGCCCACCTCCGCCATGATTTCTTCCCATGTACCTACTGCCGCCACCTCCCAGTCTATTAACTTCCTGCTCCACCTGCAAAATATTAAAGGACAGAGACAAATAGACAATGGCAGCCACAAGACAATGACAATTCCATGGAACTTTTGTTTGGAGGGGTTCCATTATTTGATTTGCATGAAAAAGTTTGTGGGCTCTCCTAGTCAAATTTGAAACCAAGCTTCCCACTACCTCTGAATCCTATTCACTGACCTTATCCGTTCATTTGCATTAGAGCACACCCATACGAAGAAGACAAGATACTGGACTAAATTCTCATGGAACAATTTATCCACCACCTAAACCTTGTTGTTTAATTAGGCTTTTTTATAGGCACACACACGTGCACACCTTCACCACTAATTGCATACAAACAAACAAACAAACCATAAAGTACTTCCATGCTAACAACAATTAAAAAATATAGTATATGTTATGTATGATTAGTGACACATCTAACACTCAACAATAAAGGAGGGAAAGTGCCAAATTCAACCTAAACAGTTGGTTTTCAACATAAAAGTGTGGTAAGTGTTCAATTGAATTGTTGTAAAAAAGAAATATGCCTCGAGATATGTCTTTTAAACAAAGTTCAGAGTCTTCTAATTTTCCAGACCATTACATTTTTTAATTTTTCAGCGTCTTCTAATCTTCCCTTTCACTTTTTTTTATTTACTTTTCAGACCATAAAAGTTCTACTTTTTTCTGCCTCGAAATGACAAACTCTGCAGAAAAAGAAGACTTGAAGCAAATGACCACATAATTAAGGTTATGAATTCAATACTATACTTGTTTCAGAAGCTTAGCTCATCTTTTCCTGAAAAGTTTTTGTTAATTTTCAGGAAACTTGAAAGAGTAGTTCACGCGTGCAGTGCTCAAAGGCTTTGAGCTTCGTTTAATTACCTTAACATCACTGTTCTTCTCAGGTTTCGAGTTAAGTTTGGGGTTCATATTGGAAGCAGTTCTGGGTAAATCCTTTCTCTTCAACTCCACGCCAAGCCCAAGCCCTCCATTTTCTTTCAACAGTTTCCCAAGTTTCACGCACTTCTTTGCAGCAAATTCTTTCAAAACATCTGCTCAAAAGAATCCCCAATATCAAGCACATAAGAAAACGAAAAAAAATGATCACTTTACAAGATATGCATGTAAGAGATTAAGCAGTAAGCAAGGGAATTACCTTCAAAACTGACGAGTCGATAAACATGGCCGATTAACAAAGTGTCATCAGGTTTCAAGAGCTTGAGCTGCTTCACCGGCGTTCCATTTTCGTTCTTTAAAGTCGGGGAGGTCACAAGGAGTGCAACGTAATGATCCGGATTCAAGCCCATGATTTCATTAGCAGTAACAGACCAGTAAATCCTCTCGATCTTGTTCCCCGGGTGTTGAATCACCACGGTGGCTGCCTCAGCTGCTTGACAGTTCCCCATACGATCTCTCCTTTTTTTCACTGTGAAAGCAAACGATGAAAGTATATTGTGTTTTTATGGAGCAGTGTGACTGACCTTGAATAATTAAAGAGAGGAGTTCAAAGAAATTAAAGGGGGATGGCTTGAAGGGTAAACAAGGAGGTGGAGGAAGTTTGGGGAATGATGGGGAAAGGCAGAGGGTTGGTGGGTTATATGAGCAAGAGGGTTGATGATGGAAGCGTAAATGGGAAACAGTGGGGGAACTGGAATTTTTTTTTTTGACAATGACAATTGGAATTTTCATTTGGTGGGTTTTGTAATCTTATACTTTACATATGTTGACACAATTACATGCTTAATTGCATCCACATTGGAAAGTGCTGTCCTAATGAATTTCATTTGCTCATATTTGGAATTTTAATTTCATAAATTTAATTTTGTTTGCAAAGGGATACGTGTTAGATAAGCAAAAGGTGACCTGGGTAGCGTCTGCCATGTGTGATTTTGCATTCATTTTTGGAATTGAATCAGAATTATTATGGCAGCTGATGCACGAAGCTTTGTTGCCTTGCCTTCTCTTAATAGGAAAAGGAAACAAGTTTAAATATTAAATTAAAAAAATATTATTGGTTTGTTATTATTTAAAAAATAAAATCGGAAAAAAATTACTTAAAATATTATTATTTATACCTAAAACATCAATGTTTTTTAACATTTTCGGTAAAATGCCCAACAATAACAAAACCGATAGAAAAAAATAACAAAACCGATAAAAAAATAACAAAACCAGTAAAACGCACAATAATAAAAAACCGGCAGAAATAATATGTTTCCGGTAATTTTTTACATGTTTGTTATTTAAATAATAACAAAACCGATAGTGTTTTTTTAGCTGTATATTAAGGCTGCCGCACGTGATTATTTCCCCCATCCACTGGTCCCACTTCACACTCCAACCCTACTCTATGGTTTATTTTAGCTTGTAAATGAACCGAACAAGATTGTACTTATGTTTGTTTGTTTAATTTTAACCGAACAAACAAGCAAACCTGAATAACTAAAACGAACGAAATTTTGCTATCTTAACTGTCAATTCTGCTGCTTCTGATGAGAATTTTGCTGCTCAACCATTGTACATCCTTTTACTCAGTGTAGGTATGGCTCTATATACCTGTAATTGTCCTTACAAAGAAAGTCTCGTAGTGGGGGTTACAATTATATGGGTTGGGGGTTATTTTGTAAATATGTACCAGTGTTTATTTATTATAAAAGGATATGTAACATAAACCTATGAGACATTGAATTGAATAAAATTCTAACGCCGCCTAATGCATTGAGGATGTAAGCACATTGCTGAACCTCATTAAAATTCTTGTGTTCTTTCTGTTTTCTTTACCTGATTTTTCAACAATTGGTATCAGATGTCAGGAGCCAAATTCAAAATTACGAAATTCGATGGTCAGGGTAACTTCGGATTATGGAAAACAAGGGTGAAGGATCTGTTGGCGCAACAAGGGATCCTAAAGGCTTTGCGACCTACAAAGCCGGCGTCGATAAAGGAGGAAGATTGGGAAGAATTGTAGCAGCGAGGGGCAGGAACCATATGATTATGTTTGGCGGACGAGGTCATGTATCACGTCATGCATCTGTCGTCTATAGATAAAATTTGGAAGAAGTTGGAAAGTCAGTTTATGTCCAAATCCTTAACGACTAAACTGTATCTAAAGCAACGACTGTATGGACTGAAGATGCAGGATGATCATGATTTGGCGCAACACGTGAATGTCTTCAATCAAATTGTTTCTGATTTGGCTCGACTTGATGTGAAAATTGAAGATGAAGACAAAGCGATGATTCTGCTGTGTTCGTTGCCTCCCTCTTACGAACACATGGTGACTACGCTTACATATGGGAAAGAGACTATCAAAGTTGAGAACATTACTGCAGCCTTGTTGGCTCACAACCAACGGAAGCAGAATGCAGGGGAAAGCTCTCAAGCTGATAGCTTATATGTTAAGGGTAATCGAGACCGTGAACGGAAGCCAGAGAAGGCTGGGTCTGGGAAGCGAAATTTTAGATCCAAATCTAGGGATAAGAACAATTCACTGTTACAAGTGTAAGGAGGCGGAACATAAGTAGGACATATGAAGCATGACTTTCCGAAGTTGAAAAAAATATATTGATGAGAAGCGTGATGACTCATCAAAGTCTATGAATGTGGTCGAGGATGACAATTCTGATTGCAGTGAGGATGATGCTCTCTATTTCAACGACTCAATTGACAGATGCTTGGATTCTTGATTCTGGATGTTCTCATCATATCACACCAAATAGGGAATGGTTTTCGACATACATGTCGGTTGAATCTGGTTCTGTTTATTTGGGTGATGATCGATGTTGCAATATTGTTAGTATTGGTGATGTTAGAATTAAGATGTATGATGGTTCAGTTCGGACGTTGTGTGGAGTTCGACATATCCCAGATTTGAAGAAGAATTTGATTCTTTGGGCACTTTGCACAAGAATGGTTTTCCCTAAGGCTGGTGAGGATAGGGAAACCATTCGGATTGTAAAGGAGCTTTGAATTTGATGAAAGGAAAGATGACTGCAGGGAATATTACAGATTGTTAGGGAATACCATTGTTGGTGGAGTTAATTCTGTTGAGTCCTGTGATGATACTACCAAACTGTGGCATATGCGTCTTGCTCATCTTAGTGAACATGGTATGGCAAAATTAGATAAAAGAAATCTGTTGCATGGTATTAAAAGCTGTAAGCTCGATTTTTCAAGTATTATGTTCTTGATAAAGACTAAAGTTCGTTTCAAGAAGAGAAGTACACAACTGAAGGGATTCTTGGTTATGTGCATTCTGACGACATCGTCTTTGGGTGGATCTAAGTATTATATTACTTTATTGATGATTTTCACGAAAAGTTTGAGTGTATTTTTGAACACAAAAGTGACGTTTTCAAGAAGTTCAAGCTGTGGAAAATTGAGGTAGAAACCAAACAGGACAAAAATTCAAGTGTTGTGTCTGACAATCGTACAGAGTACACAGATTCAGAGTTTTTAAACTTCTGTAAGGAGCATGGGATTAAGAGGCATTTACAGTGCGCAAGACACCACAACAGAATGTGTTGCGGAATGGAGAACATGTCATTGAATGAAAGAGCCAGATGTTTATGGTTGAATGCTGGACTTCCCAAACACTTCTGGGTTGAGGCTGTTAACAGGGCATGTTATCTTATCAATAGATCACTAAGGGCATCATTAAAGTTGCAAAAGAGGTATGGACTGGTCATGATGTTACTTTTGATCGCTTACAATTTTTGGTTGTCCTTATGTGCATGTACATGCTGATGAGAGATCCAAACTCGATGCAAAATCGAATGAATGCATTTTTCTGGGTTACAAGAAAGGCGTCAAAGGATTCAAGTTCTCGGATCCAGTTGCAAAGAAAATTGTGATCAATAGAGATGTTGTTTTTTATGAACATCCCATGTTGCAGCAGAAGGAAGACACGACAGTGGTGGATTTCGAGCAGTTTTCAGTTGAGAAAACATAAACTTCTCAACCGACTTCTGGTGGTTCCGCTACGGTTGATTTATAGGATTATAGTCTCGCCAGAGACAGGGTGAGACGGACGAATATACAACCTCCAAACAGATTGGGTTTTGAATACTTGGTCTCTTTTGCACTTACTGTTAGCAGTGATGATCTGGTTACTTTTCATGATTCTGTTACTAGTCAGGAAAATAAAAAGTGGATGGCTGCCATGGTTGAGGAGATGGAGTCTTTGAATCACAATCGCACATGGAGTTAGTTCGCCTTTCTGAGGGTAACAAGCCCATTGGTTGCAGGGTGTATAAGAAGAAACAGCAGTAACAGGAAAAAGGGGAGAAGTTCAAGGCTCATTTGGTAGCAAAGAGTTTTTCACAGCAGAAAGGAGTTGATTATGATGAAATTTTTCTCCTGTGGTCAGGCACACTTCAATCTGAGCAGTACACATTGGGGGCTAGTTGGGATTTGCATTAGAGTAGAATGTTAAAACTGCTTTTTTGCATGGTGATTTAGAGGAGTAGATCTACATGCAGCAGCCTGAAGGTTTCATTCAACCTGGAAACGAGCATTTTGTTTGCAGATTGAATAAATCTTTGTACGGGTTAAAACAATCTCCGAGACAATGGTACAAACAGTTTGACTCATATATGATCAAGATTGGCTACAAGCGATGTGAGTATGATTGTTGTGTCTATGTTAAGAGCCTTGATGATGGTTCTTTTATTTTTTTATTACTATATGTTGATGATATGTTAATTGCTGCGGAGAACATGGATGATGTTATCAGTTTGAAAACTTTATTGAGTCAGGAATTTGATATGAAAGATTTAGATACTGCAAAGAAAATTCTTGGAATGGAAATTTACAGGGACAGAGACTCAAGGAAACTGTGGCTATCTCAACGAGTTTGTGTTGAGAAAATGCTAGAAAGGTTTGCGGTGAGCAGCGCAAAACCAATGAGCACTCCATTGGCGAATCACTTTAAGCTCTCACCAGAATAGTGCCTTAAGACAGATAAAGAAGCTGAATATATGACAAGGGTTCCGTATTTTAATGTTGCTACTTGATGTATGCAATGGTATGTACTCATCCTGATTTAGCTCATGCTGTTAGTCAAGTTTGTAAGTACATGTCTAAAACTGGTAAGGAATATTGGGAAGCAGTCAAATGGATCTTTAGGTACTAAAAGGGTACTGTGGGACATGGAATTATTTTTGGTAGTCAGCGGGATAATCTTTTGGTTGTAGGATATGTGGATTCAGACTATGCGGGTGACTTGGATAATAGAAGATCTATGACAGGGTACATCTTTACTCTTGGTGGAGGGCCTATTTGTTGGAAGTCTACTGTTCAATCTGTTGTGGCATTATCTACAACTGAAGCTGAATACATGGCAGCGGTTGAAGCTGTAAAAGAAGCTTTATGGCTTACTGGTTTAGTGAAGGAGTTGGGTGTTCAACAAGGTGGAGTTCAGTTGCTTTGTGACAATCAAAGTACTATTCACCTAGCTAAGAATCAGGTATATCATGCTAGAACTAAGCATATTGATGTAAGGTTTCAAAATATCAAAGAGTTGGTTGCATCTGGAGAGATTTTGTTTCAGAAGGTACATAACCAAGCCAGTTATG